TGACCATTGATCGACAAGTGCCCTTAGAGATAACGTGGGTAAATACGAAGGTGGATTTGATTTCGTGTTTAGAACCAGTTCAGTATCTGGAAACTGGTACCAATGGATTCATAACTGATGGCTCTGGGGGAGGACCTTGGGGACATGGAAGAGGATGCTCTGTAAATTCCCATGGTCACCGAGTTCATGGGGCAAGTGCTAGACCAACACCCCACCCCACCCAACAAATCTCTGTGATATCTCCTGTGTGAAATGACTATGGGCAGACACGGTGGAGCTCTGTCATATCTGTCATAATCACAAACTTAAAGGTGGCCCAAAGGATAGAGGCCTGATCTCCCTAAAAGAGAAGGAGCTGCATGTTGAGTTCCCCCACATGGCCAATGGTTCAATCAGTCACACCTACAGAATGAAATGCCAATAAAAATGTTAAATACTGAAGCTCGGATGAACCTCCCTGGTTGGCGATGCTCTGAGTGTTGTCACACGTCCCAGCCAACAGGAGGAAAGGCCGTCCCGGACTCCACAGGGAGAGGACAACCGGGAGCTTTGCGCTTACCCCTTTCAGCCTTCACGGAAGCATCTCTTTCTTTGCTGGTTCTGATTTGTATCTTTTTGCTGTCATAAAACGGTAATCATAATTTTTTAAAAATGGCCGAAAGAAATATATGAGAGGATTGTTACTTTGCAAAGCGTAAGGGGGAAATGGGCCCTGAGGGTGACAATGCCTGCAGGAAATTTCTCTCTCCTGCCCCACGTCCTTCCTTTCATGCTTCTGTTCCCACCACCACCCCACATGAGGCTGCATTACCAGAAATTTGGGGCCACTTTCTGTTAAGGAGGCCAGATGAGAAGGAAGGAAATGGTACTGCAGCATTCTGAAAGATTACCTGTCCTTTTTCCGGCCAAGGAGCCAAATGGCAGCCATTTAAAAACCTGGCTTTTCAATTATACAACTGATTGAATGCTGAATCCTTAAGAAGTGAATTTTCTTTACTTTTTAAAATACCTTTCTATTATTTCTAAGCAAAATAAAAGTTTGCTTGAAGGTTTCCCAATTGACAAAAGTCACATAATGTAAAATATAAAACCCAATGTGTCTATCGTTAATAAATTCCATGTCTCTATGCCCCCCCCCCCCAAAAAAAAACCCCACCTGGACTTAGGAGTCCTCATTTATATTTTAAAAGACTTTAGCTGAACAGGGTGATCATTTTATTACATGGGTCCTATGAACACAGAACAATGAAATCCCTTCATAAATGTAACACTGCATTTAGGAACCAAGAGTGACTGGATTGGAAAAGGGACACTTGTTACCTTCTTAACATTGATGGAAATACTGCCCTACCTCCTCCTGAGGCAAGTTAATTAACACTGAGGGTTTTGAGGACATTTTGAGGGAGAGTGCACAAAATTGAGAGAGGGAAACTTCAGATTAGGGCGACTTTTATTTGATTCAAAACCGTGTGTCTTCTAGTCTCTTGAATTTACTGTGGTGATGACCAGAGAGTCCAAGCAGAAGCCAGACCCCAGGGGTGAAGGCAGCCCAGGAGAGGTGATGGAATTCCTTCCCAGACATGTTGAAAATACCCAGGAAGGGCGCAGGATGCAAGGAATAAACTCTGCTCCCACCACCTTACGCCACGAACTTGCAGAACTTTATGAAGAATTTGTATAAAATCTCAGAAAGAACTTGTGTGGCCCACTTTTGATTCAAGTCTATAATTCAATGGGTCACATAAGCCTGTGGTCACATCCAGTTTGCTTTACCAAACTATCTGGGGAAAGCACTGATCATTTTGGTACATGGCAGGTGACTTAAACAATTAGGTAAAAAATGCAAATAGTGTGGGGAAGCTGGACCTGCCACCACAGGTCCTTCCAATAAGCTCCAGGGCACCCTCTGTGTTCACCCTCTCGACCACTGGACATACACCATCGTAACGAGCTGTTTACTTGCCTGTCTCCCCAAAATCCTTCAAGCCGGGGACTGTGTCCTATTCGCCCCTGTAACCCCTCTGCTGGCACAGAGGAGACGACCAATCACATTTATGAAATGAATAAACAAATGAATGAAGAGCAAAGTGCTTCCTTTCTAGAGTAATTAATTCTACCTCACCTAAATTAAGTCTGTTTCTTTAAGTGTGAGGAAATGAATGGGTATAGTACAGAGCATGCAGATATAAATGATTATCTCACTTAATAATGAGCTGGGACCAATAATAAAAATTGCCTGCTGTCTGCTCTGCCAAGTAGCCCTATCTGTTAACTAACATTAAAGATCTAATTTAATTAAATCTTAAACAAGCTCAGAAAATCTACTGAGAGCACTTTGTTTAATTACAGTCAGGGGCAAGCACCAATCCTATTGATCTGGTCAGTTCAAATTCTATACAATCAATGTGGGTAGTGAAAAAAAAAAGTGACCCCAACTGCTTTTCAGGCAACTTTGATGAACTGTGGATTGGGAAGTGCCATAAAGGCAGCAAAGGCAAACCAGCCACGTACCATGTGGTATCGCAAGGAGGGCAGTGAAAGCATACCTCAGACACTCCACAGAGCTGCACATGATGAAGAACAGAAGACAACCCACCACAAGAAACAGATTCCTCCTCAGGGAAATGAAACATAATGAGTGGTGGTGAGTGGAAGTCGTCCAGCATTGAAGGCTAGTAAACTGGCATTCAAAGGCATCTAGCAAATTCTATGAGACCCACAACTGTCTTGAAATAAAAGGAAATAGATCCAATCCGTGGGTATGTATACAAATTCCTGAGGACATTTCCAGTTGAGGAAAAGGTACAAGTTCCTCGACACATTTTTATTTGGAGGTAATTGAAATATAAATTATATACATTTAATATAAAACCATATTAAAAGACAGAAAAATATGAAAAACACCACATAGTCACTGCAAAACTTAAATGACCGTTTAAGTATGATCAGAAGCGAGGTTAAGCGCATTATGAGTATTAACTAATTTCCCTGCGTTGGGTATTAGCATTGTCCCCACTTCACGGCAGAGTAAACCACGGCACAGAGAAGTTAGGTCACAGACTCATGGTGACTTGGTAGGTCAGGCTGTGACCTGAGGTGGTCAGGCTCCAGACCTGGCACAGAGCATCCAAACGATGCAGTTCTTAGTACTAACCTCCAGAGTTGGAGAAAATACTTGAAGAAGGGGACTGGCTTTTTATCTTTTGCTGGTCACAATCCAGGGCTCTCTTGTGCTTTAGTAACTCAAGTTAGGGGAGGAAATTTATTCTAAACCACAATATGTAATTACACCCAGGACCAACATGTCCTTCACAAAACATGCACCATCAGAATGCACATGCTAAGAGCAAGCACACCTAATTAGGGCATTAGTCATGATCATCAGGGAGCTCAGCCCAGGAAATTACAGGTGGTGGGGGCCTTAGCACGGAGGAAATGTCATCGGCTGGCCCAGATAAAGTCTTTGCTGACGGGGATGATTTACACCTGCTGATGCAAGGATGAAGAATGGCATCTGATACAGCTGGGTACTGGAAACAAGCTTATTATGCACATGAGTTCAGACAAAATGATGTTCAGATCTGAGCGGCAGGGATGCTGGCCTTTTAATTATAACATTAGCCACAAGTGAGGAAAAGAGCTGATAACGTTCAAAAATAGTAATTTCTTCCACACTCAAACGTACATGTGGATTAAAAACAGAATGAGTTATACATGCTGACCTTTTGGAAGAACAAGGTATTTTCAAGATGTTCTTTAGAAGTCAGGGGGAGAGAGAGAACAATGACTAGATGTCTTTTTCCCCCTCTCTAATTCAACCTAACCTGTGTGCAAAATTTCCAGTTAGAGCAAAACTAGAAAGCAAACTTCTACTATCGCCAAGATTGAGAGAGAAAGGGGTCTCGTAATTCAAAGTGGAGTTCAGAGGGAATTGCTTCTGATTGAAGAATTCCTTGCTTCACTGCCAATCGATTCACAGATCAAATTCACAGCCAAACAAAGAAGTATTTGTGGGTTCCTGAGGAAAAAACCCCTCCATCTTCGGAAAACTGAGTGCTTTTTACAATTCTGCCAAACATTTCTATCCTAAAACATCAGCGTCTTTAGTAATGGATATATTTCCTACACAGAGTGATTTGCAAACTGCTTCAGGCCATAGAGCCATGGGTACATGGGGGTGAATACCAGGAATTACACACACACATACTTAACATATATACATATACACAAAACACACATATAGACACAGCTATACATACATATGATTATTTTTAACCTTAATAAGTCTGCACTAAAAGAGTTGACATTTCTCATTATATTCACTGAAAAGTGAGAGCAGCTGCTATAAATTAAAAGAATGTTAGAAAAGACTGCAAAGGGGAAAAGTCTATATCAGTGGTTCTCAACCTTGGCTGCACATTAGAATCACCTGGGAATCTTTTTAAAATCCTGATTTCTGGGCCTCATCCTCCGAAAATTCTGTTTCTTTGTTACTAATGTTGTGGCCCCACCCCATAACAAAGAAACAGAATTTCCAGAGGATGAGGCCCAGAAATCAGGATTTTAAAAAGATTCCCAGGTGATTCTAATGTGCAGCCAAGGTTGAGAACCACTGGTCTATATATTTTTGCAAATTATAAAATAGTATTAGTTAACTTAAAAGAAGAACATTTTAATGTAGCTGGGGGCAGACGTGCACACCGGGGAGAATGGGTTGAGAATCACTGATATAATTTTACCATCCACTTAGATTTGCAATTCTGGAGAATAGTGTTATTTTTTTTTTAAATCTGTTCGCCACACCTCAGCACTTTTAAATGATTTTCCTTTCAAGAATCTCTTAAAAAAAGAAAAACTGACTTCGTAACCAGAAAGGGACGGCGATTCTAAAGGCTATAAACGCCCCAGAATTCCCGGGGGCTGCCCTGGGCTCTGCACGCTGGCTTCTCTGGCCCACACCCTTGGGAAGAGGCCCAGGCCCGAGGACTCGGCATGCTCACCCTCCTCCGGAGCCGGTCCCGCTCCTCCCGGATGGCGTTCATGGTGGCCTTGGTCCTGTTCAGCTCCTCCTCTTTGCTGCACAGCATGGCGGTCAGGCTCTCATTCTCTTCCCTCAGCCCAGCCAGCTCCTTCTCCCAGCGAGACCGCTCCTCAGCCAGGTTGGGATACAGATCCCGGCCGAGTACCCCCTCGATCTCCTCGACTGTCTAGAAAATACAGCCACAAAAACAAGCCAGGTGAGTGGGAGAAAGCGGAGGGGAAGAAAACATGCTGGACGGAGCGAGTGTCCACAGAGGAGGGGGTTCTACAGCCTCCTCACTGTCAAGTGTCATCATGATCAGTGACACCCCCAAATCATCCTCTCCCTATTCTCAAACCAGACTCTGTGGCTTGCTTGGGTCCTAGTCTGTGTTACCCAGCAGTCCCTGGAGTAAGAAAAACACAGTCTCTCCCTGGCACTAACTGTCCACAATGTTTATCTCCTTCGTCCACGTTCCAGAGCTGGTGACTATGCACCAGCAGACAGCAAGCCAGTTAGTGATCCCGACAAAGCAAACGTGGAGTGCCAACTGCACACAAAATCTAGCTTGCAGTTTCCTGAATTACAGGCCTCCCCTGTTCCAACTTGGCAACCAGAGGCCACATTGCCGTTCCCAGCTTTAGTGTCACAGCAGAACTGAGAGGGTGTGAATGAGGTTCAGTCCCAAGATGCCCAAGCCGAAAATAAACCTGTGACACAGAAACGAGGAAGCTCATTGTGGAGGTTTCTAAGACAGCAGGGATTTAATTAATGAATAAGACAGCTGTGAGCTAAGAAGAGCAGAATCTTAACAGCACTTGGAGAGTTTTTAAATAATCCATTTAAAACACAGTATTAATGGAGGAAGAATGTGCAGAAAACTGGAAAAAAAAGGAAGAGCTCATTCTGGTGGCTTTCAGAAACCATTCATTCACATTTCTTGTCGTTTGGAAAAAGGAAGCAGAAGCCAAATGACATGAGAGAGGAGGGAGGATTCTTAGGTTGGAGTAGAAGGCAGTGAAGAGAGGTGATGAGAAACAGGTCTCGAAAACAAAACAAAAAAAACAACAACAAAAGGGGAGGTCACTCGTGGCTGCTCACACTGGTTTCCCCATCGCGCTGCCACTTCCCCTGTGTTGTGCATTGTCCTTCCTTTCAAATCTGGGGCCTGCTCTGTCCCTTGCTGGTTGGCAGAAGTCCTTGTCTTCTCCTTCCCTCTCAAAGCTGAGGCTGGGGCTAGGACCCAAGTTGACATTAAAATTAAATATAGGGCCTGGGAGACTCCAGACAAAGAAACAACAGTGGTTGCTTCTCCAAACCACATCACTGATACATTAATAATTGAGATGAATAAAGATGGAAAACCAGCTGTGTTATTAATATGAATCACGGTTCACCTTGAGATACCACAGCTCTTTTGTAAGATCCAGGGTTTCTGTTGATAGACGCTTGGGCCTAGAGCGCTAAGACATTTTTTTTTTCCCCAAGTAACACATCACATTTTCCCTTTCATAGGCCCCTCTCTGACTTTTCAGAATCAATCACTATGCCTAGGTCACTAAGCTAGGGTGAAGTAATATAAAGACCCCAGAGGCCCAGTATCAACAAGACTTGACGTTCCCATTGTTCATGATGAGTCTGTGCAGATGCAGCAAATTCCTCTCTTTTCATTCTCCTTTGGAGGTAAGATGAATGATGTGGAAGGCGTGGCTGAGACCGAGTGCTCAGGATACAGGACTCACTGAGGCCTGGAACTTCCCCCTTATTAGCACCGTGAATTGATTAACTCCTGAAATAATATTCTGGAGGCCATAAAGCATTAATAAAACTTCCAAGTTAATCTTTGGGCTACATGATGAACCGTACTAAAATGAGGTGGTTCAATACTAGCAGTCTAAGAGTTTCCAAGAAAATTGTCATTTTTGCTGCGAAGTCAGTGATCCTGACTGCTGACATAATGACTTTTTCTAGTGCAATTCAGCCCAACAAAAATGTATAGGGCTCTGGCTTCTATCTGGTGGCCCAATCTATGAATATGGCTTTCTCAGAAATACTCATTCCTCACAGGTATTTGAGAAAACCACACTTCAAAAGAGAGGGATCTGATCATTTCCCCCCTATGATCGCCAAGAGCCACACAGAGGGTGGGGAGGGTTTACCTTAATAGCCAAGTCGCAGTGCTCGCTGGCCGTGGTGAGCTGCTCGATGTGCCTGTCCACCTCGGCCACGGACAGGCTGCAGCTGCTCTTCTTCCTGCAGCAGACGACGTTCTCCAGCCCCGTCAGCACCCGCTGCAGCTCCGAGTTCAGGTCACTGCAGTTATCTGAGGGTGAACGTGGGCAGAATGAGTGAAGCAGGCAGGTGGGCAGCGAATGCTCTTCATTTCGTTCACCATGAAAAACCCATTCTAGTAAAATGAAATGGCAATAGAGCTTGAAATTTCAAAGTTTAACTCTGGGCAGCCGAATCCCAGCCTGCTGGCATCCTGAGGCTTGGAGACAATGTAAAACCTCTACTAAGGGGTTGCAGACTTCAGTCTTTTTCTACTTAGCCATGCCAAGCTGATCCTCTCGTCTTTCACCTGAGGGCAGCCCCAACTTGAGGTTCTTTAATAAGAACAAAGAAGTGTCAGAGGGGCTGGTGGGGCCTCATAAGCCGTCTGGCCTACCTTCCTGCTCAGCCATTCAGACAAACACTGGCTCCAGAAAGAGTGTCCGCAAAAAATAAAGATATCATAATATTACTGAAGAAACAAGACAAAACCCCCCAGAGTTAGCAGAGACACTAGGCATTTTAAAACATGGAAACTGTGTAAGACCCAGCCCTTGCCCTCAATGAGCTTATAATTAGGACACTTGGCTGCCCTGGTCACTGTTCCCTGTCTGGACCCTCACAGGAGGACAAAGTGGATAAGCTGCAGGAGCGAGTTTTCTGGGTCCCCCGACTGTGGTCGCACAGCCCCAATCACTCACCACCAGTCACCCTAGCACCAGCGCTGCTCAACACAGGGTGGGACGCTCTTTCAGAGTCTGTGGCGTATTCTTCTAAACACAGACTTAGAACAAACGCCCAGTTCCTTCCCGTGGCCCACAGCCCCCTGCACAGTCTGGCCCCCTACCAGAGACTGGAATGTCATCACTAAAGGCTGAGGCAGTTGGAGTCTCTACAAAAGGTCAGAGGTGTATGTTACGGAATCAGAAGAGCAATAGAAGCTGAGACAAGGGACTAAGTGGGTTCTAGGACGAACAAAAGGTGTCTCATGTATAAATCAAAATCATAATGAGTTATCACCTCACTCCTCAGGATGGACACTATATATATACAAACAACAGAAAACAACAAGTGTTGGCAAGGCTGTGGAGAAGTTAGAATCCTGTGCCCTGCTGGTGGGAATATAAAATGGTGCAACCGCTGTGAAAAACAGTATGGCAGTTACTCAAAAATTAAAAATAGAACTCCCATATTATGTAGCAATCCCATTTCTGAGTATATACCCAAAAGAATGGAAAGTAGAAATGAAAAAGATATGTGTACACCCTTGTTAATAGCAGCAGTGTTTACAATAGCCAAAAAGGTGGAAAGAACTCAAATGTTCATCGACGGATGGACAAACAAAATGTGTCATATGCACGCCATGGGGTATTACTCAGCCTTCCAAAGGAAGGCAATTCAGACAGGCTGCAACATGGATGGACCTTAAGACACTGGCCTAAGTGAAACAAGCCCGTCACAAAAGGACAAGTACTGTGTGATCCCACTTACATGAGGTTCTTGGGGTAGGCAAGAAAGTAGAATAGAGGTTCCAGGGGCTGGGGGAGTGGGGCAATGTGGCTTAATGGATATAGAGTTTGTTTGGGAGGATGAGACAGTTCTAGAAACAGATAATAGGGATGGGTGCACAATTCTGTGAACGCACGTATCGCCACTGAACTGCACACCTGCCCTGGAACACTGAGCAGACCCCCTGGCTGTGCTGTGCTTTAGGCAAGAAAGGTAACGGCTCAGCTCCACGTCCATGAGACAAAGAGGAGGCCATCTGTATCAAATACACATTCTCCCAACGGAGGTTCTTCATATCTTCCCACAGAAGAATGTGAGGTTGCGTAGAGCAAACAAAAGGGGAAACACAGTGATTAGGGCCAGGGAGAGGCTGAGGAAGCCAATAAAAGTGCACAGCTGTTGGGCTGACTACTCTGCTTAACCATCACACAAGTGTCCTGGCAGCCAGAGCAACAATGAATGATCTCCTGTCAGGGAGGAGGAAGCGTTCCAGTTTCACAAGGGAGACTATGTGTTTTCAGCAATAGATGCTACAAGAACTCAGGTACATGGACTTCATGTGTGGCATGAAGCGATGTGATGGCCAGTCTCCTCAGCCAGTTTCACACATATGCAGATTTCAAAGGCTTTCTTCTTATACACGCCTTCAATTAAAATTAAGCTGTCGACCATTAAAGTACAATGCAAAGGGAGTCCTGGGAAGGACTAAGCTGACAGTCTTGGCATTCTGCCTCCCAGTTGTCTAATTGGCTGCAAAGATGAAAGAGAGCGCACAGAAGAATAAATGGAATGGACATCTCCCTTTGACCAAAGGATGCAAATGAGCCACCTGCAGCAAAGATGTTTCGTGTGGAGGGCAGGGTTTGAGGGCTGGCACAGCCTCTTTGTTTTTTAAACAATTTTTAAATTAATTGCCAACATTTAGAAACCATTAGAAGTTATGACTATTCTTGTAAAATTATAAGGTCTGGCCACATTGGGCCCCACTCGGCACACAACAATCTGCAGCATGGCCAGCTGCTGGCCCCGTTGGACGCGGCATGACCACAGCGCCCATGGCTCTGCCCACTCCCCAGGCCTGCCCACTGCCCACCTCCTAGGCCTGCCCACTGCCCACCTTCCAGGCCTGTCCCTGGCTGTCCTTCCTAAAGGTAACTTTTCCCAGCTAGACTTCTGCAGCAGCTGAAGAAAAGACAGCTCAGGTTACATTCTTCTGGAGAACTCAGAGCCTTAGGCTTTCCTGTTGCCGTTTGAGGGAAGACCCAAGTTACTTCGGAAATGTACTTGGCTATGAAAATTAAGCCTAACCAGCTTTCTTGCTCACTTAAACGCATACTGGTGGGCTGGTTTCCTTCTTTCCCCTGACCAAGTTATCATGGAATCTAAAACATATCATGTGGCATACCACACCCTGCTAAAAAGCTTTCAATTAAGGTGGATCCTCAAGGCAGAGGCCCTTCCCCTGAAGTTAGAGGTACTAGGCACAGTGCACTCAGCCAGTCTGAGAAAGGGAAGTGGCTGGGGGCCTACTGTGAACGGTCCTCACGCCTGACCTGTGTGGGGAGCAGCAGATCAAGCCGTAACCATGACCACCACTGCCTTCTGAGGACTGACACGCGTCCCCACCTCTGTTCTGACTGGGCACACGTCATGCCTTACAGAGCAAGGCAAGTGGGGGAGAGAGCTGCAGATGCTTTCAGCTTCAGCACCGATGCTCTGCTAGGAAGCAGGTCTGATGTCCTAGGGATGGAACAGCTCTGAGCCTGTTGTGGCTCTAAGGCTATAACTAGGAAGACTGGTGCTTTCCTTTCAGCAGTCCTCTCTCCTCTGCGTGCAGCCAGGCCCTCCCTAACTCCAGAGAGAAAAAAGCAAAACAACACAGAAAATGATAGAATAGTTGACTTCCAGGTCTGAACACAAGATGACGGGAAGGTCTACGAGGAAAGGAGGGAGTGTCCACTGAGGTTACCCTGCGTGATATACAAGCGTCTGTGTCTACCAAAGACAAGAGAGTAAGAACGATGTCGGTATAGTTTAAAAACACCTCAACATCACCAATAGTGAACAAACTGACATATGACCCTCCTGCACCTTACTGTGAGTTGTGTCTTTTTTTTAGTTGATGGATGTTAACTAAATTCATTGTGGTAATCATTTTATAATTATGCTGTACACCATAAACTTCAGTGTTGTATGTCAATTATATCTCAATAAAACTGGAAGAAAGAAGAGAGGAAGGCATAAGTGGGTAGGGATTCTAAACAGGAATGGGACAGGGGACGGGGAAGGAGGGTGGTCCTGAGGGAGACTCGAGTCAGGCCCTCAGCTCTAGGAGAGGTGAGGAATGGAGCTGAATACGGGGAGAGAGAGATAAAGGGGGCAGAAACTTTCCTGAGAACTTTATTAAAGGGCTTTTACTTATTACAGAAAATGAATGTTCATTCTAAATAAAATGCTAAGCAGAAAAGTTCAAAGAAGCAACTAAAAATGATCCATAATCCTCCAACCTCATTTTAAGCTCTTAGAATTTTATTTTCTATATCTTTTCCCATAAATACATAGATCATGCTCTACATAATATTTTATTGTGTTTTTTCACAAATATTTCTTAAATTATTAATTTTATGACTACTAAGATTTCATTCTTTGGAAACACCATCATTTTTTTGGCATATCACAGACATAGTTCTCTTACATTCCTAGACATGAAATAAATGGGTCAAAAGATTATGAATATTGGCACATATTATCCTGTTGCTGGGAAAATATTATACATTTCCATTTGTGAGTTGTGCAACTTACTTTCACATGGTTGAAAAGAATTTCTGAGTGTTGTGCATAATCAAATGTGGTAGAATGTTAACAATTGGTGAATCTAGGCAAAGGATTTGGGGGGTTCGTTTGATCTTTTATGTAAGCTTGAAGTTTTTCAAAAATAAAAAGTTGAGGAGAAAACAAATACCTCAACATTCAAGGCAAGAATATGCTCAAGTCTAGTTTAACTCAGGGACCACTGTGACGATCAACTCCTCCGTGCAGTTACGAGAACAGGAATGTCTCCCGAAAGCGCCAGGCCACACCCAAATATCCCCGAGCACACAGGCTCGGGCCAGGGTGATGGTTATGCTGTACACCATAAACTTCAGTGTTGTATGTCAATTATATCTCAATAAAACTGGAAGAAAGAAGAGAGGAAGGCATAAGTGGGTAGGGATTCTAAACAGGAATGGGACAGGGGACGGGGAAGGAGGGTGGTCCTGAGGGAGACTCGAGTCAGGCCCTCAGCTCTAGGAGAGGTGAGGAATGGAGCTGAATACGGGGAGAGAGAGATAAAGGGGGCAGAAACTTTCCTGAGAACTTTATTAAAGGGCTTTTACTTATTACAGAAAATGAATGTTCATTCTAAATAAAATGCTAAGCAGAAAAGTTCAAAGAAGCAACTAAAAATGATCCATAATCCTCCAACCTCATTTTAAGCTCTTAGAATTTTATTTTCTATATCTTTTCCCATAAATACATAGATCATGCTCTACATAATATTTT